CCCCCCCGACATACCCAATTCCAGCAACTGTTCCTTATATGCTTTAGCCTCCAGTCCCCTAATCATCTTTGTTTTATTTATTTTTATTATTTATTTTTGTGGCATTCAAATACATTTGAATTGAATTATCTACTGAATTGATAGATAAGGTGACTGATGACTGATCTCTATTAAGATTTTAAGATGGGATGAAGTGCTAGATTGGATCCTGCAATTTTTACTTGCCTGTAAAACTGTGGTGTCTCCAAATCCAAAGCCTTCTTTTAATAAAGCTGTAATGTAACTGAGATCCATACATAAAAAGGGGCTGGCAGAGCTATAGTTATCCATGTTATCACAAACTAAATGAAAAAAAATGAGAAGAATATTCAATACATTTAGAATAGCTGCTGAAAAATAAACATACATAACCATTAGAAACCACGGAAACTCTTGCTTCAATACTGGTTTACTGCTGATCATGGCTGCTATGGTTTTGGCTCCTTGTTTTTCTTATATCTTCTAGCCATCTGGAGGAATGGCTTTCAAATGCTGGGTTGGGCCAACTCAGGAAGAGTTCAAATGTACTAATGAATGTGGCTAGAGTTATATAACCATAGACTCTTTCCAATTCCTTAATCTTACTTGATGACATATTACTGTCTATTTAAACCAGGGGTAGTCAACCTTGGCTCTTTTATGACTCGTGGACTTCAACTCCCAGAATTCCTGAGCCAGCTATGCTGGGTCAGGAATTCTGGGAGATGAAGTCCACGAGTCATAAAAGAGCCAAGGTTGACTACCCCTGGTTTAAACTATATAGAGATCATTTATTCCTCACTTAACACAAAGCGGGTATTACTACGATATATGTATATAAACACGTTATATATAATATATACAGAGATGAAATGGGACCCTGTACGATGGCAAATATTGTTGAATTTACAATCAATTGGTTTTCTTTCATTTCAGCACACTTTTTTCAAGGATTTCTTTTATTCGGTGAGATCATTAAACTGTCTTATCTCTTACAAATAATTATATTGGTATTTCAAGTTTAAGCATACTAAACATGACAGTTAATTGATTAAAAATCTGTAAACACAAGATAGCCAAATAAAAACACAAAAAAGTGATTTCAAATTGGTAGTTAAACTAATTAGAAGGAATCCAGACAAAGTCAAACTCATCTTACCTTGTTTGGCTTTTTTTTCAAAGTCTCTCACACGTAAAACACCACCTTTCTCATAATCTGAAATGACAGGAGATTAAAGTTATCGTCTGACTAAGAAAAAGTTACTGTAAAAACCATAGCTGTGACATAATATCTGTATTTCAAATTGTACAGTACTTCCAGATCAGTTAAAATATGATCATTTTAAAAAAAATTAAAGGTTTTTGAATTACAACGGCAAAAGGACACATTTCTTGCGTAATGCTCTTTCAAGTTTTCTTCCCATAATGCAGGGGAAACTTTTCTGGGTGAGACTGAACATATCAAAAGGCCAAAAAAAATATCAAAATTTACTTTAAAATTAAATTTAAGTATGATCATTCCCCTTTAATGTATAGCTTTTTTTTAATGTCATATTAAAATTTTGGAATGATGCAGCCTTGGTTGTGTATTTTTCTTTAGCAGGGTGGGCACCACTCTGTGCCCCCAGGACTATCCCCCAGGACTATCCAAATTCCATAAGTTTCTTACACACAGTAACCCTTCCTATTTACTTCTGCCTGGAGCCTTAAGCATGGGAGTCAAAATGGCGGCCCACAGCCCAGATGAGTCATGTGCAGGCCACGCCCACCCCAGCTCCGCAAAGGCAAAGCCACGATATGTCATGTGATGCAATCGAGTTTGACACCCAGGCCCTATAGCTTCCTTTTAAAATAGGTTTCTCAGTTGAAAAAAGTCTACTTCTCTTTTCTCTCTCAATGCATCTGCTATTGATGGTCCCAATGTAGCATATTGCCTCGCTCCCAATCACTATTTTCCCTTCCCCTCCTTCCCTCACCTATTGCCCTTGTAGCCAAGGAAGTCATTTGCAGCCCTGCTCTTTTGACAGCTATGAGATTTAGCAAATGTAATGGCTGTTTCCAAAGGGCTCTTATTTTTCAAAACACATCTTTTGCTATCCTTTAGGAAAGTTTAAAAGATTTATCTATTTTACACTGCTTAATTAGTTAATGTTAACCTTGCTTCTAGCTGATATTTTGTCGGCTATTGCCTTACTTGTTTAACAGATTCATATATTAGTTGTTATTTGTATAATTTTATAATTTATTAATACAATTTATATGGCCATCCAAGTACAGTAACACTGGAGTAATCCCCACTGATATTTTATCTTGATATTGAGTAAAAAATAAGCAAAATGCTTATGGAGGTTATAGTGTTAACCTCCAAATTTTCAAATATTTACTATTCACCTATCAGGTCAGTGTCCACAGCCCGATCATAATAATAGGAAAAGGCATAAAAGGAACTTCTCTGAATCTCATCTGGTTGATGCAATTTTCCTTGTACAATCTTCAATACTTCAGAATAACAAGGTTGAAATCCAGTTTCACCTGCCAGAATAAAAACACAAGTATAAGCATGACATGAATCATAACGTCTAGTTCTTCCCTTAAGACTACTACAGTCTTCATATAGCCTCATTTCTAGTTTTGTTTCTTTTATGAAATATTTAGTTCATTTTTTAAAAAAAACTTTCATAGAAAGCAGTATCCTTTTAAATTACCTTCTGTGTTGCCGCCATACTGGTATTTTATTCCACCAAAATGCCATTCTGCTTCCAGCTGTTTTGGCAGACAAGAACTTCTGAATGTCTGTCCAAGTGCTTCAAGAGAGAATTTGGGAGAAGGAAAATTGGTTTATAAACGCAAACACACATATACACAAATGCACATACTCTTTTAATTTGGTTTTAATTGCAAACATATGAACCTGGGTGGGAAAAATGGAAGTGAAGACTTACTTCACTCATTTTCCTATGGAAGATGCTTTATTCACTAGACCAGTGGCTCTTGGAATGTTGGAGGGAGGGGGATAATTTGGGCACATCCTGGGGGTCATGGAGCAATTTGTAAGTGTTTGTGAGTCAAGGATCCAATTCAGGAGTGTTGCTGGGGGGAAGAGCAGTCTGCTTGGAATACATGCCTTCTTTCTTTCCCATTTAAGCTTTTCCCTAGCAGCAGCATGACAGAGTTGCCAATAAAGTAGAAATCCTGACACAGTTATGGGAGTAGACACATGTTTTGGAGCTCTGCATCCACCAGCAAACTGAGAACAGCAGCCAAAAGACAGAAGGAGTTGTCCTTTCCATCTGAAGGCGAGGATGGTCCAAAAGAGAAGACAAGAAGTATAGAGGCCCAGTAAGAAAAAAGCATGTAAAAAAAGGTGCAAGAGTTCTAATCCTGGCCATTAACACAAAAAGAAGAAATCTCTGAGAGAAAGGACAAGACAGAACAAATTCCATTAAGCGCTGAAAAACTGTGAGTTGGTGTCAAATGCTATTAGTATGAATTGGTGGATAAGGGGTCAGTTGGCTAGAACTGTGGAGTTGTGGGGGTTCCCTTGCAGGCCATGGACTGCAAGTAGCCCATTCCAAACCCACAATGTGTCAACTTTCCTCCCTGTACAAAAATACTGTGTTGGAGATATGTGGTTTCAATATTCTTAGCAATTCATTTCTAATAAGAATAGAGCAAGCATTAGCCACTAGCCCAAAAAATACGAATTGCTGGGCTGCAGATAGAATAGTTATTTTGTCTGACCATACCTTCCAAATTCAAAGCTCCTAATGTTGCCAACCGAGCAGCTTTTAGCCCAAGCCCCAAATAGCTATATGGGAGGATAAGGAACACATAATTAATAACCAAGGCACTGTATGAACATTTTACAAATTTGGATATAAATTATATTATGCCAAATAACTTTCTTGTTGCTTTCTAAGATCTCAGTGCCAAAATAACAGCATATGGCTCTTTTACAGTAATGCACAAATTATTGTGTATAATATGAGAAAGATAATTTATCTAGAATCAATTATTCTGATAATAAGCAAAGATTTGACTTACTACCTGAATGATACAAACGATTTAGATGAATTTTTCAGACACAAAGCAATAATATCTTAGAATTTGTGTTTATTTTCTCACTTACCTGTGTGTGTAGAGCTTATACGTGCTGTTGAACATTTGAAATGAGGTAAGAAAGTCCACTGGTGTTTGTGTTAAGGTTTCCTAAAAATTATGAGAATGAAAAGTAATCATTCATGAATGATACCTTTCAACATCAGTAAAAATTGATTTCAACGAATTCTTTAGTATTGCAAAAAATTATGTTTTTGTATAATTTATATAATTCCCTGACATCTTCTACTGCACAATGAATATAGATTGCAGATTTGTAGATTCTCCATTTTTAGTGACCAACAAGTTCTCAAACATATGCTTCAGAGATATATTGACAGGAATACCTTGTGTCAAATTTAACTTTTTTTCTTTATTTATTCTCTCCCCGACTTCCTAACTATTTGACTTCCTATTTATTATTACATTATGAATTATTATTCTAATGTATATAACTACCTATCATGTGTGTGTGTGTGTGTGTGTGTATGTCTATGTGTCTCTATGCGTATGTGGGTTGCTGGGCTTGCAAACAGTTAAAACCATATAAAATAACCAAATAAAGAATTTTAAAAATGTTTATCATGATGGTTTTTTAAATTATTTTTACTAATACAAAAACCTATTAAAAACCACCATAAAAATTCATCAAATTTGCAGCTGAGGTAATCACATCTACAAATATGATACCAACTGACAGCGCCAGTTCTAGCATTTTCCCAGTTCCCATCTCTATTGACAGAATCATGTTTTCAAGGTGTTTAGAAAGCCAGCAGGATCGGGGCCAATTTGATCTCTGGCAGGAGTCATGGCACAAAAGACTTTCCTCCTTGAAGGCATATTCATTGTTTTGTGCAGTTGTTTACATACTCAATATTTATGAGATCGTGAATGTGGCTGAACAGTTTGGACACCCTAATAGTTAGGACTTTGTAATATCTCTTTGAGCAAAAACAATAGTTTCCAAACATTTCCTGCAGCCAAATAAGAGTTCTTCTAATTTTGCTTTTGGATTTCTTTCCCATTCTACCTTGGAGAAATCTTTTAAGAAATATTGCATCTCTGAGATCTCCTGAAAGATTTTCAATATATTTAATTCTGATAATTGAAAGGCCAATCCAAATCCTAAGTGTTACTATTATGAAATATTAGTTTTTAAGATATGTTGCTATCTAGTCAATTTCATTCTTCTGTTGACTTGCACAATGTTTCATGTGGCACTGGTGCCACATAACTTCACAAAGTAATAGAGGCAATCTTTGTGTTTAGCATTGGCAATGCATTCTTTTCTTCAAACACTTCACCTTTTTTTCTCAAAATGGGTCTCCAAATGTGGTTGTGGTCAGATAATGGAAGTTTTGTTTCACTAGTCCAAAGAGCCCTATTGCAGAATGTTTCAAGTTACCTTGATATGGTCTAGACCAGCCTTTCTCAACTTTTTTACCCTGGAGGAACCCTTGAAATAATTGAACTCCTACATAAAAATTATATCTGCAGCTTGCATTGTGCAACATGAAAAGTGAAAACATTTTCTTTAATCACAGTAATTTGTGGAACCTCTGGGACCTTGTGTGGAACCCTAGAGTTCTCCAGAACTACTGTTGAGAAGGCTGTTCTAGATAAGGACAGAGAGTCTGGCAATACTGCTGTGTAGATCATATTCATATAAGCTATGCTGTTTTGTAGACAGCCACTGCAGTATTAGCTGACGTTTAGTCTCCTGCAAAGTCTGCAAAATTTTTGCAGATCCAGGAAAGATTTTTTTCTTGTCTTCAAGCTCTATGTAACTTTCATTTCTTAACAGTGTTTCTCACAGTTGAAACTGCTAGCTGGCAATATTCAGAAGTGTTTTTTTACAGCCTTTCTTTGCACTAGAAGAGTGAATTATCTTAATTTTAAATTCTAAGACAGCTGCTTAAAGGGCCCCATCATTGTTGAAAATAGATAGAACCTTACACTCACCACCAAACAGATAAGAAAGGTAAAAACATTTGTTCACTGCCAAATCTGGCTAATTGCCAATTACCTTTTGGGGCCTCTAACAACTTTACACTTAAAAAAAAAAAACCTTACTGCTCCACTCAAATATATCCCTACTTCTACAAAAAAATAATAATACTGTTTTCTTATTTGGAATTTGTCCAAATTCACATAAAGAGTAAATAAGCAATTAAATATGCAGAAACACTGGGTATAACTTTATGCTATTTGAGTTGGGCCTGCTTCTATTCATTCGATTCATAGAAACAGGCAGTCTGAACAGTGGGAGCTACCTGGCACAAAACAACCATGTTATTTCAGGGTAGTCCTCAAGTTACTAACATAATGAAGCCTGCTCATTAGTTCCATAAGTTGCAGGAATCATAAAAAAGGTTCGGTCACACGATCAACCGAGTTTTGTGTTTTTTGCAATGGTTAAGTAAACGTGGTGGTCATAAAACAAATGCCATGGTCGTTAAGTGAACCAATAGTTTGCTCTGCAGTTTTGCCCAAAACTAGAAGTAACTACCAGTTTTTGGCAAACCCGAAATAAAATGCACTTATGTGACTGCAAGACACAAACAACTATAAATGTAGCCAAGCATCCAAAGTATAGTCATGTGAATTATTATTATTATTATTTATTAAATTATTTATTATTATTATTTATTGAATGCAGCCCCCAACTGTTGGAACATCATATCTGAATGGTAAATTCCCCTTTTCAGGTAGCTTGTAAGTTTGAATGATCACTAAAAGACCAGTTGTAAATTGAGAACGACCTGTATTTTGGTATTGTGTTAATCCAGCCATTGTTTACATATCATGTTTCATAACTGGTTGTGTTCATGAGCCAAACCAATATTCAATAAACCAACAACACTTTAGTGTCCTGAGTGAAGCCATGTGGTTTCCTTTCTATGAATTTTGATTATGATAGAAAAGAGTATTTGGGTTATCTGAAGTATAGTGTTAGAAAGGCATTTGTTCTGTTAAGGAAGATATCATCAAGGCTGAAAGTGACAATGGACATAAAGATAATCCAAAATACGGAACCTGCAGCCTATTCTATCTACTCACCTCCAGCTGTGGCAGGAATGTTATCTGAGTTGAAGCTCCTCCCAGGTCCAGAGTTCCAACTGTCCGCTGGTCTTGGCCATACAACTGCCCTGCAGATAACATTGCAAAAATTCAAACAGTACCCATATACAGCAAAAAAAATAAATAAACCACACCCTGTTCTGGGAGGGTTTTAGCAAGTCAGAAGAGACATAATGGATGACTCTCCTACTATTAATAGGCTTCCTATTCATTTTTTGTGGATTCTATCTATTAAAACAGAAACATGCCACAGTAAATACCTGTCAAAAAATTCACAGTGATCCAGGCTAAAATACCTGCAAGAGAGAAAGAAAAAGCTACTGAAAATCCATCTATCTATAGACTACAGAGGATTATTGCAGGCTCTGCATTTCTGCTGATCAGTAATTATCAGTACTTTTCCAAACAGAATATCATTTCATTCATTGTTTTGGCTTCTCAACCTTTTCACATCAGTTGGGGGCGTTCTCTTAACTTTCATTACTGTTTCCCCACCTAAAATTTATCCTATCTCTTTTTTTTGTTCCAGTTCTTATACTTTCCCATCAGGTTTCCTAACATTCTGTAAACCCTGCAAATTTATTGCATAGTTTTACTGAAACCAACTCCAAATGACATTTTTAACTAATTGCCAAGTTAGGTCAGTTTACTCAGCTAAATAAATGTCTGGATTAAGGACATTCAGCTGAACTAAGCTTAGATGAATATGTGATACTAAATTAAAAAGTAAACCCACTTCATACTGTAGTTCTCCAAGTAGTTCTCCATATAATTTGGTAAAGCCAAATTGTTTTAACTAGGTTCAAGTGGCTGAGGTTTCTTTGGGAGAAAGTTTTGATCTGACTGCCTGGAAGAAATGGTGGTGTGTTCCTTCCAAAAACAACAACAAAAAAAACTCTCAGTCTGTTCCCAATAGACAACTTCTATCCAGTTTCCAATCTTTCTTTTTGAGAAAGTTGGTAGAAAAGGAGGTGCATGAGTATGGGGTGGAAACTGCATTGGTTGCTCAAATGGATAACCTGCAGCCTTTGATACAATTGATAATGAGGTTGGAGGTGGATGGCACTGCTTTACACTTGGTTTCACTTCTTCCTAAATGAGAGGTTCCAATCCGTGATGCTGGAGAATGAGCAGTAGGGGTACCATAGGGCTCAACTCCTGTTTGGACCAGGAGGGCTTGGCAACATTAAATCATGTCCCTATCACTTCTAGGCTGGAGGTGTATGTATGTGTGTATGTATGTATGTATGTATGTATGTATGTATGTATGTATGTATGTATGTATGTATGTCTTTATTTATTATGCCTTGCATCTTACTGAAACATGACTCTGGGCTACTTACAATATGATGAAAAGTAAAAAAGGCAATACAAAACAATTACATTAGGAGAATTAAATGGACTTGCATAGTGCATGGACTTTACATGCTATTGTCCTTGGAAACTACTCTGAAACTGGAATTGTTTTGAATGTAGCAGCTTGCCTACTGGTATTTGAGAGCTGTTGTAATCATACAATACTGGTTAGTAGTAGGATCTCAAATAAAGTTCAGGGTGCTGGTTTTAAGTGTCTGCTTATCCTATTTGTTTGATTTAGGGTGTTTTGGGTTCCCACATTTCAAGAGTTATGTATGGCACAGAAGCAGATCTTATTGGTCATGGACTACTCCTTTGTACTGGTTCTCCTTTCTCCAAGTCCATTTCTCTATCAAATGCTACACTGATGTCCTTCAAGAACACAGTGAAAACTGTTTTTTTAAAAAAAGTCTTCAAATTGGATTGACTAAGCACACGTTGCCTGTATGTGAAGGGTGCTAATAGTTGATTTTTTAAAAATCATAATTTTAGTTTTTGATAGAAGTGTTTTATTTAGCATTTAGCTGTTATTTGTTTGTTTTATTTAGTATTTTATTTGCATGCCATTGTAGTTAACTAACTAAAGCCATTGTAGAATAAGGGGGTATATAAATAGCAAAATAAAATAAATGCGTATTCATTATGACATTGCTATCTAAATCTGTCCTTTGCTATGATGTGTTCTAATTGTAAACTCCATATGGGCATTAGAACTAGTTGAATCTATTTTTCATCTAGTAATATGTTACTAATGCAGCCAAGGAACTTTATCATTTTCCTGTATACAGAATCCTGTTTCCCTAGGATATTATAATCTTGGTTGCCTTAAAAGCAACATCATAATATTTTATCCTGTTCTGAGAAACCCTTCTTCCCCTCTTACTTCCCTAGTTATTTCTCTTCTCTATGCCTCAGTTTCCTTATTTGTACAGTAGGACGTACCTTCATAAGATCCATCCATTATGCTAACACTATTATCAGGAACTAAAAATGGTGAATCCTCAAAGACCATTCTGACCTGTGGGGAAAAAAAGGAAGTGATTTTCCTAGAATTGGAATCATTCACAAACAGAAATATGCAAATTATGCAACTTTCTTCTACAAAAAAACAGAGGAATGTAAAATCAGCTACAGGTTAAATGATTTCGTTCAACTTCTAAAACTACCATTAAAACTGGATTGCTTTCTGCATTTATTAATATAGACCTATAGAAGAAATAGCTATAAAATCATAAAGAGTTGAATGAAGCCATTAGGCTACTGAGTTCAATTTCTTGCTCAGTGCAGGAATCTCAAGTAACTCATTCCTGACCATTGGCTGTCCATGTCTACTACAACACATCCAGCAAAAGGGAGCTCACCCCTTTCCTCTAGTGATTCCACTAGTGAACTGCTCTTACTATTATTTTTCTCACATTCATCCAATATCGGCCTTCCTAGAATTTAAGAGTAATATTCTACGTCCTGTACTCTAGGACAAATAAAAAACAGGTCACGCAATTATTTTATGTGGCATCCCTTCAAATACTTGAAAAATATTATCAAATCTCCCCTCAGTCAATTTTTTTCAAGATTGCACATACCCAGTGTCTTTTATCTCTCTTCAGAGAACCGAGGGCTTAAAATATCCCATATCCAGTAAGTTTTCATATCCTATCAATCTCACTGTATTTCTCCGTGTGTGTTTTGGAAATGGAGACAGTGCTCAAGGGACATGTGATCAATCTAGGATATAGTGTTTTTCATAACCAATGATTTTACAAGTGCTTCCATTGAGTTTGATATTTTAAAAAGCAGCTGGGGCATATTCATGGCATAACACAAATTGAAAGGATTGAAAAAGGCCCCCACTTTTATATAGCACCATTGATTTTGTAGTATATAACCCAACATTACTTGTGAGAGTAGATCTTGAGCTTTCTGTTCCGCTAACAACCGTAGACCAGCAGTGGCTTTCAATACTACGGGGGTCTTGCTCCAGTGACCTGGTGGTATAGCATTTTTAGCCATCTCTAATAATTTTCTGATAGTTTCAGCTCCCTAAAGATTAGCAGAAACAAAAACAAAAAACTGATAGGATTGAGCAGAACTTTAGTTTACATTTTTAAAATATTTCTCTTCTTCAATTTGTTCCTCCAAGCCTATTTTATTTTTGAGGGCTTTAGCTTGACATTTATAATTTTCCTCTTGAACTAAGCTTAAGGTATATGCAATTGCCTTTATTGACATCTATCCCTATGTCACTAGGCAAACTACTGGTCCCGTCAATGTTCTCTTGCCCCAATCTCGGTCAATTTTCTCATTGTTTATGGGCCTATATTGGGACTGAGAGAAGTTAGTATTGGTTAATGGCAAAACATGTCCTTGAACATACAATATTCCTGCTGTAATCACTTTTATCTCCAGCTAGGTTTAGGGAGGAGGTAATAGGAAAACCCTTGGAGAGTTACTATTTTCCAGTGAGAATAAGTAATAATAATAAAAAAATGAGATCAGTAGGTTGCCTTTATGATTCATTCTATCTTCAAATGCCAAAAGAAAATAATTTATTTTACATCAGAAAGTCTTACCCTTTTAGGCTGATTGGCATATGCTGAGAGACCTGGTTTCACTGATTCAAAAACTTCCCCTTTTAACTCTGCAGGATATTCTATAAAAATATATATAATAAGCTGTTAGATAGGCTTATTTTTATCTAAGGCTATAGGTATTTTGCTCTACTGATTACAAATGAGTTAATAACTGAAATATGTCAGTGAAGGTTGTGATTTTCAATCAAGCTGTGTCCCAAAGATTCAACCAAAAGGTACTTTTCAGAGAAAGAGTGAAAATGTAGAAAACAGAAACTTTATTTTGTAATACATATATAATTCTTGGTAATGTGGGACTTCTGGATAGATGGTTCTGTGTAACAAATATAAGAAGACTTATAATATTTTGTGGAAGATTGCAATATAAAGATATACTTGAGGAAAAATCTAATGCATATCACTAATGTGTACTGCCTCGACAGCAAAATTGTGATGTGTCATTATTATTATTATTATTATTTAGATTTGTAATAGCGGCCCCACTTAAAAGATGGGCAACTTACATCATCACATCATAAAACAAGAACATAACCACAAAGCATAACCAACCAGTCAAAATACTACACAAAAACTGAAAACAAAATATGACAAAATGGACTAGGCTGTGCTTAGTTAATTCTCATTTCATTTGCTAACAGAGATGAAAATCCAGATGCTTCATAATTCTGGATCAAAATCATCTCTCCCTTCTTTCGGAAGATAGTTTTTCAGAAGACAGCATTTGATTTATTAAAGTGACAGAGCTGTACAAATCCAGTAATGCTTATATTGAGCAAATGTTTGTATTGGATTAATAACAAGATAAAGGATTAATGACAAGGATTAAGACACTATAGTATATAATTAAATATATTAAAACATACCAAACTGGAAATGCCAGGCAACCAAAGAGCAGAAAATGTTGTTAAACATTATCTGTAAGATAATCCTTTCTTGTTTTTCTATGTGTAGAATTAAATTGTACTCATATCCTGTTTCCATCTTTTAAACTTAATCTACTTTAAAATCTTTCTCAGGAAAATACATCAATTAAGCAACTGATCCAACTCTTTATAAAGAGACTGCACAAACTAATCAAAATTAATTGAAATCAGGAAATAAACAAAAGTGAAGGAAACTGTGAAAAGAGACTATGAAATAAGGATACATCCACAGATTTTAATTGGATGAAAGGGCAAAATCTTTTGAACTAAGGTGCCCCAAATGGGCTAACTTGCAGAATGTGTCCAAAATCCGGGACCCATGACTCCATGGAATTGAAATTTGGCAAATTTTATAAATCATTTTATGACATAAATATCATAAAACAGTTTATGACATAATACAAATGTCATAAAATATGTCCAACTCTGCTATACAATTCAACATGGGGTATTTTCAAGGCAGCCACATCTTTGAATGTATCCAGTTTTTCCAGTGAACACACTACATCAGAAGCTTTGTCATTTTGATGGCATTGAGGAATCTGGTAAGGAAATATTTCTGAAAGGATGAGCCAGGGGGTCACAGGATATCTAGTTCTTGTAAATTCCTAAAACATTTATAATCTATTGATTTATAGTTCAAGAGTTGCTTATAGACTTTTTGAAGTCAAGTCAACAACTTGTGGAGAGTAAACAAGGTGATTAATATCAAAATCAGTCAATTAATTGCTTATAATACATTGACAAGTGCCTGGTTGTTGTAGCCTATTTTTATGATTCATTTATTCAATTTACATAACTGCCTACCTCACATTTGTGACTGGATGGCTAACATAATTAAATATATACCACAAGAACAATAAACATACGAAATACGAAAACAACACAAAAATATCATTAAAACCAATTAAAAACCACAAAACATAATCAGTAGGAAATTACAAGTGATATGTCAACCAATAAAACCATCTAGCAGACTCTACACCACAAGTACATATGTTCAGGAGAACTTCCAACAGTCTTACCTGGGCTTCTCTGTATAAAGGTGTAAATATGAATTCGTGTCCCTGTGCTTCCTGCATCAAACATGATGCCATAAAATGTTTCCACGCTGGCATTGGCTGGACAGATTTTAAGGGGGAAAAGTTCTTGGAACCATAATTCAGGTTTGGGATGAGAAACAATACAATAAATGGAGGAAAACACAAATATGGCAATGACTGTGAACCAGGAAGTACCCATCATGCTTGGGGGCCTTAGAGAACTGCAGTTTGAATCAAGACTTCCAGATTGCAGAGGTTCCTGAAGATAACATTATATACATTAGAAAAATCATAAGTTAAATAAATCAGTCAACAGAGAAACTTCCCACATCCCAAAAAGGTGATTTGATCACTAAAGCAAGGACAAACCATTACACTTCAAGTCTGCTCCTTTGAATCTATGGAACAGTTACAACTGTGTTCTAAAATTCTATGTGGAATAAATATGAAAGTTCTGCTTCTTTATAAAGTATCTCTATTTGCTAATATTGCAGATTCCAAATTAATGTAGGAATTATAATCCTGGCTATCACTCTGAGAAGGCCAGGGAAGCTCAGAATACAAGTGTCATTCAGAACAACCAACAATGGGAATTGCACATGCTGTTGATGACACTAAATAGGCAGAACAAAACAATGCATTTAGTTGTGGTACCCTCCCACTTCATATCCAATATATGGCTCAGGATCATTTCTGTTTTGTGCTTTTACTTTCAAATCAAACTCACCCAGTAATTGTTTTTGATGTGCAGAAGTACACTTGCATTCTATAAGATTCCAGAAAATATTGATACGGAAATTTCCTATTCAGCACAGGAAATTCACAAAAGCCAAATTATGCTAACATCTCAAACTGAAATGGACATTAATTAAGGAAAACATAAGATAGTTTCAGATTTAATGACTTAAGTTTCTGTAGCAGGAGAAAATTTATGACCAGTATGGCTTCTAGTAAATTCCTAAGTGCCTAAATAATTTGAAGCCAACACACTGGATTGTAAGGTTTGATGGGCTATAAAGTGTGGGCAGATGCCTGGTTTTATTGTCTTTGGCTATTGTTATGAACCACCCATAATTGTGTTCTACAAGATGGACAACTATGTAAGCCTTTTAAATATGTAACATAACATAACAAACAGTTCTATAGATTTCTTTACATTAAAACAAAGTATTTGAAATTTAGAAACATTTCTTCCTCCATTCAGGTCCCCTTTTCCCTGCTTGTGCCATTTTGTTTTACTTAGCTTTTCACAGGTATTTCTCTTCCATACTAGATCCTTGCTGGTTATTAACTCTGGTTTTTTAATAAATGTCAACATTTATCTTATGCAATCATTTTTCACAATTACAAAAGATCTGATGATTAGAACAGTTCACTGGCATGCGATCGGTACTTAGCATCTGAATCCCTAATTACTGGATTCTTTCTTTGCTTCAGCATCCATCCACCATCTTGTTCCAATTTTCTATCTACTGTTATTAAAAAAACTCAAGTTTGTTCTACTTTTCGTCCATTTTTTTTGTCTTATCATGTGTTTAACTTTTATTGCTTCTCTTTCAACTTTATTCCTAATCCCAAACTATGACATAACTCCTTAAGAAAAGCAGTTACTTTTTAAGCCAATAGTTCTATTAACAAAGTTTCTCCTAATAATTAATTGAAATTTTTTTTGCTACATTTGTTTTGCTGGTTTAATTTATACCTTGTATAAAGATCAAGTTATGTTCATGAAAAATAGGGGCAAGAAACTTATAGCAATACATGCCCAACTTATAGCAATACAATAACTATTATCCATATATTTCTTTGGAAATTGGGCAAGCATAAGAATACGGAGTCTATATTTGCCAAAATGAATTTTGAACTTAAACCTAAACCTTACTTTTCTAATCCATAATATTCTAACACATATAAAACCTAAAGTACAAGGGCAATTTGGAAATAAACCTCCATTTGGTTATCAATGACAGACACCACATCGGAAGTGGTGCCATAGAAAATCCCCCCAAATGTGAAGATGCCAAAGGAGTACTGCTAGTGAAGTTCATAGAGTGTGGTTCGACCATCACTTCAGAAGTCTATTGTGAAATGTTATGAAAACTCAGACGAGCCATCCATAACAAGTGTTGGGACATGTGACTTCCGGTGTGGTGTTGGTTCACGATAATGCTCGCCTGTACACCATTAGATGCACCCAAGAACTTTTGAAGCAGTTCCGTTGGGATGTTTTTGATCACCCTCTCTATAGCCCAGATTTGGTGCCGAGCAACTACTACTAAGGAAAATTCAAACCTTGTAAGACATTATGACAAGTGCCTGAATTTGAATGGCAATTATGTCAAAAAGTAATGTAATGTTGTAGTTTTATAATGTATATAATAAAAGTTTTGTATCTGCACGTGTCTGTCATTGATAACCAAAAGGAGGTTTATTTCCGAATTTCCCTCCAAGTACCTTGTTGTCAAAGTATATCGGATTTAAAAGTATAACTAGAAAAATCTGATGCTGAAATTTTAATTTAATCTACAAAAATGCTTCTACATAGATTAAGGAAATTTGATCTAATTGGAAACTTTTAAAATTTAGAAATAGTGAATCTATGCAATATAACCTTCCTTCTTTTTACAAATTCCATCTAAAAACATTTGTATTGTAAAACCTTTATCATAATCGCTTAATCTCCCTACCCTTTTATAAGTGTTGGTAATTAAAATAAAGGCATTTTGCTCTCCTTTTTGAATGGAGTAAGAAAGTGAAAAGAACTAAAAAAGAAAACTTTATACTTTATTGCAAAAACTTAATCCCAAAGCATTTCAAAGACTTTTCTTCAGGGGACTTTAAAAAATATCATTCTAATATTATATTGTTTAATAATAGCTAATATGTATGTCTTATTTGCAATTATCATTTAGTTGTATACACCATAAAGATTTTTTTTTTTATGAATTGCATTACCCTTAAGATATTCCTCCTTAAAAATGCATTGGAACTGAGACTCTGCAATATATGTGCATTGATTTCCTTTTTCCCTTTTTTAGTTTTACAAAGTATAAAAAAATACTTGATTGCTATGTATTGCTTTCCTCCAAGAAGTCAACTTAGCTTGTACTGGAGATCTCTTTTCATTTATTCTCACAAAAATATCCCACAAGTAGCATGGGTGGGGGTGGGGAAGGACAGAAAGAGAGAGCGAGAGAGAGAGAGAGAGAGAGTATCCCAAAATCACATCCATGGCCAAAGTATATCCTTGAACCTAGGGCTCCTGGGTCATGGTTCAATACCCTAGCAGCCTAGCCACTAAAACACACTCGCTCTCCATTTTTATTTTTATATATAACATTATTGTAATAAATATATCATATCCTATCCTATCATAAATATTAGCCTTCTTCAAAACATTCAGGACCTGAAATACAAACTATATGTGTACTTACCTATGCTATGGGTACAATGAAAAAATATTTAGCTGTTAATCATCTAGGCAGGAAAGTTGCATATTATATATCAGTAAGTCCATTTTCTGTAAACGTAGGTTTAGCATTTATCTAAGGCAAACAAAAAAAAATGTCCAGTTGGAGTTTTTTTCCTAGCAGAAGTTCAAAGGGCATATTTCAAGTAGGAAGTTCCAATGAAAACAACTGATCTAGGAAATTATTTACCAACTTGAATATTCATTGCAACAAAAAAGTTAAAGTCATTAAGAAAAGAAAAGGCATTTACTATATTTTGTCATACTCAGCAGTCCAGTTTTACTAGATGAAATAGATAGTAAATTAATGTGCTCCAGATATGTGGTAATATATCTTATCTTTCCTAGTCAGGCTTATGTTTGTCAAATAGTGTAAGAACACCTATGAACCTTGTAAGAAGCTTGTAAGAACACCTATGATCCCAAGATTGGTATAATTACTTGGAAATGCTATGTTAAGTGTCTTTTAAAATACTATATCAGAAATCTCAGAGACAGTGATATAACTGAGATTTGTGAAACATTTCAAGAATAATAACATACTGAAAACATTTCTATGTAAATTTTTGCTGTAATCAATGACGTTTATATTTTTAGAAATAAAAATATTGGCAAAAAGAGGATGAACCGTTTTTCCTTTTCATGTAAAATTTGTATGTAAAATTTTTCAGACTGGGTAGATGAAAGGTTAAATTAGCATTGGAAAATACATGCCAAGTAACATGTAATTGAGCCCTACAGAGTTCTATGAGATCATATCGTGGAAATAAAGAGCAGGACTGATAAAGTGAGAGAAGTTTTCTTTTAAAAGAAAAAAAAAAAAACCCAAATGTTTGCAGTTGAGACTTAAGAACGGAATTGTGTTGGATTGTGCGCTATTACACCTTGCCACTTCTGAATTGCACAGAAGCATGAATGATGCCCAAATGACAATCCGAAGAATAAAAAGCCTTTAAAGCCGTGTATGGATTACTTAAAATATCACGGATTGAATGTCTGTGAAAGGAGACAGTTCTCTAAAGAGTTGGCAAAGATATAAAAAAAAAAAATACAAAGCCATGGAGAAAAAGAGTTTGAAATATTTAGAACGCATTATATACGCAACGAGAAATATCGCCCAAACCACGATAGGAACAAGAGCAGTCAAGAGCGCGCCGAAAGACAGGAGCAAGGGACGCATATTATGGTTCGAGTCCCGTGTCGGCGGCTCCGGATTAGAGAAGGACCGCCGCCCCCACCTCCAATTCACCCCCGAGCCCAGTTCTCACTCACCATGTTTTCCGAACCTTCAGTTTTCCACATCTCACCGGTGCCGCGTGTCACGTCAATACACTGCGCGTTACGTCACGGACGCACCTTTTCTTCCTCACTTTTCCGCGACGCGCAGTTTCCATAGCAACGGAGTCGCTTTAGGCAGGAAGAAAAATCCCTAGGAAAGCCGGCGCCTGGGAACATGAAAGGGGAAAACGCGCAAAGTAAAGGCGGGAAAGGAGGGAAGTAGGTATCTTGGGAATAGCGAAGGTGGTGGGCTGCTTGGCCGGGCCTAGTCTGTTAAGCCAACCCCTTCCCTCGTCATTTGCGTCGCGTTGCTCTTCTCAGGGGGAAGAAAGTCGGCGAGGGCGCCGGCAAGAGCAGGGTAGACCCGAAGTCCTTGAAGGAGGAGTCGGAGGCCGAAAGGGCGAAAGCCGCCGCGGCGCTATGGGAGGCCAGGTTGGAGGTAACGGAGATCTCCCGCAAAGAGCACCGCGAGGCTGCTCGCCGCCTCGCCCGGAACAACGAAGAGCTGGAACGGCAGCGGCGGCGGCTGGAGAAAGACATGGTCGACGTGGTCTCCTGCCTGAAGAAGCAAGACGCGGAGAAGGAAGACCTGGTAGGTGTAGTCGTGGCCCCTCTTTTAATCTGTCAGGCTATGGTTTCGTGGGCAAATGTCAGTTACCGATTTCTTTAAATTGCGGATTTGGCTTCAATTATTACTGCATTTACATTACACCCAATGCTTTAAATATTAAATGTATAAATATCATCTAAACCAGTGTTTCTCAACCTTGACCATTTTAAGGCATGTGGACTTCAACTCCCAGAATTCCACAGCCAGCAATGCTGGCTGTGGAATTCTGGGAGTTGAAGTCCACATGCCTTAAAATGGTCAAGGTTGAGAAACACTGATCTAAACGCAATGCACTAATTGTGAGGTGTGCACTAATTGCACCAGAGTCACTATGGATAATGAGATGGGTGGTACATAAATTTAACAAATAAATACATTTCAGAATGAAGAAATGCCCTGGGGGTGGGGAAAAAAAAAGCATTAACCACTATTAACTGCCTGGTTTGGTAGAGCAACCAAACAGGACAAATACAGACTCCAATAGATAGTTAAGACTGCAAAAAGAATACAGGCAGTCCTCAATATACGACCAAAATTTATGTTGCTGAGTGAGAAATTTGTTAAGTCAGCTTTGACACATGTTATGACTTTTCTCACCACGTTTGTTAAGTGAATCACTGCAGTTATTAAATTCACTTGTTGAGTGATTGTGGTCTCCCCATTGACTTTGCTTGTCAGAAGATCGCAAAAGGGGATCACATAATTCTGGGACACTGCAACCCTCATAAATGTGAGTCAGTTGCCAAGCGTCTAAATTTTGATCATGTGACCATGGGGATGTTGCAACGGTTGTTAGTGTAAAAAATAGTCAAAAGTCACTTTTTTCAATGCTGTTGTAACTTCGAATGGTCACTAAATGAACTGTTGTAAGTGAAGGACTACCTGTAATTGCAATCAGCCTGCCTTCTATAAAAGACCTGTGTATTGCACAGGTCAGAAGGAAGATATCTGCAATCTCTCACATCCTGGACATAAACTGTTTCAACTCCTTTCTTCTGTCTGGTGCTATAGGTCATTGCAGGCAAAAACAACTAGACACAGGGATAGTTTTTTCCTTAGTCCATCACTCTGCTGAACACTTAATTCTCACAGCACTGTCTTATGTCTTTGTTAGACATACCCAATTAGTATGGCTGTAGCGTTATTATTACCTTTATTATATTTCTTGCTCCATCCTCCTATTGATATGATTATCATTATTCTGTTGCTTTGCATGTACACTGAGAGCTTCTGCACCATAGACAAATTCCTTGCGTGTCTAATCACACTTGGCCAAATAAAGTATACTGTTCTCTTCTGTTCTGTTCATGAGATTAGCAAAATCTTGATAAAGGAGAATAATTAAGAATGCCACCCCATACTCCCTGTATAGCCTGTAGCTTTCTTTTGACTGTCACATTTGGACAGGGGAATTTGATAGTATATTCCACATCTGTAGTTAGAAAATCTGATTTGAAACCTTGAAAAGGTTGAAATTGGCTCCTGGTCTCCTCCTCCTCTGGGTGCTTTTCCTGGTGTAAGAGATGGTAGGAAACAATTAGATTTTTGCTTAAAGCTCGTCTGTGATTTTAATGTAAAGACATCATAGAAAGGTCTCCATGCTAATTGTTGGGTTTTCTATTGTCCTATTTTTGGAAATTATGACTAGCTACAGGCAAACTTTTGGAAAAGTGAGCTGATGGCATTTAATGGCTTGGTATGCCTTTCATTTGTTAAGAACATTTTTCTCAGTATTTATAACATCAAAAAAACTATCTCTAGATGCTAAAATATGGAGCTATAGACTTAAGCCAGAAGAAAGGCTTTCTGGGGATTTTAATTTTTGCATCCCTTTATTCAACAGTTATTGGCTTCTGGCTGTTATCAGGGAGAAGTATTGACTTCTTTATCAACTTTGTTTTTTATATTTAGATTGAGAAGCTGAAACAGCAAGTGAATGAATTGAAGCTCAGAGCAAAAGAGGAAAGTGAACAAGCGGTGAATGGACATTTCTTCTGACACTTTTGGTAACAAAGGACACTGCAGCTCAGGCTTAGCATGTCTTAAGAGTCAGGCATGACAGATAAATGTAAAGTTTATTACATAAGATTATTTTGCACTAAAAATACAAAAATAATTATTTTTTAAAACTCACTTTGTTACTAATTCCTTAATCATTTTTTGAAACTTGTTTTGTTAGAAAAAAATGGAAAAGTAGGGTGCAAGTATGCTGATATTCTCCTTCGGGCAATAAAGCCAAAGCTGTACTTTTTTGATGGACTAAATTCTTGGCACCTAAGTGAGTTACTTCCAAGTTAACATATCTTGCATCAAGCTCTAAGAAATCCTCAATTCTCAGCAGTTGGTTCATATAATCCAAGGTAGAACTGTCTTGAAACTGATAAAGCTATTATTTGCGCCTATTTTGCAGTTTTATTTTATTAATTTTTTTAGTTTTTTAGTGGTAATCTTTATCTGGTGATGGATTATTTTTAATTGCTTTTAAATATTGCAATAAAATGTCATGTTTGTTTTTCAGTATTGTTTAACTAATTTTAGATCTATGTCTAGATATTTTATTTGAGCTAAAAGATTTTAAATTTGTAGGCAGAACAATTTGCTAAACAGTTAGAAGAGATGGAGGCGAAATTTCATCGAAAGGCTAAGGAAATTGGTCTAATTCAGATTGAACTTAAGATGATCAAAGAATTTCGCAAAAAGAAAGCACTTTTGGAGAAAGAATTAGAAGATGTAAGTTTATTCCTCACAATTCTTATATTTTTAGAAGGGCCTCTCCCCTTCTATTATTGTCTCCCCTTATTGATAGTTCTATGATAGGAAGATGTAGCTTCCAGTAGTGATCTAGAGTTGTGAAATATGTATCACAACAGTCTGTAAATTATAATAGGACTATAAAATATTACTTTGCAGAAATTCAACTGTCAAATGTGGCAGATTGATAGAACAGGAATTTCAACAGATATCCTGAAGAATAATCATTTGGACAATACCTCTAGAAGAGAAAAAGCTATGTTAAAGTGAGATACAAGTTATATCTCTAAATAGTGCTCATAATATAGGTATCTATAGAGTTGCTGATCTTTTTTTTTTAACTAAGTAAGAGATGATAGGTAAAAACTATAAATCTGAAAAACAATTGGAGAAATCTAAATGTGAGATATCCTAGAATAATCCAGTCCTGGAAAGCCTGTTTGGTCTAGTGGTTAAGCATCAAGCTAGAAAACAAGAGAAAGCCAGCTGGGTGACTTTGGGCTAGTTGCTCTCGGTCCAACTCACCTTACAGATTGTTGTTGTTGGGAAAATAGGAGGAGGAAGTTGTATCACCTTGAATTATTTGTAAATATAATAAAGATGGGATACAAATAAATAAATAATGCAGACCTGTGCAGTTTTTCTCTAGAAAGCGTTAGTTGAATTGTCCTCTAGATGACTAAATTATAATTAAATGTTTCTTTAAATTCTAGCTGAAAGATACCTTGGATATCACAAAAAAAGAACATCAGGAAACTATTAGTATGTTGGAGAAAAAGTTCATTGAAGAAAAGGTAGATTACTTTGGGAATAGTAGACATAGCGTTTCAATGTATCTAATTGCTGCAGTAATATATAGTTCTCCCTCTTGTCACTTTTTCTTTCTTTCAGCAACGTCTGGAAAGAGAAGCAGAGAAGAAGATTATAATGCTGGCTGAAAGAGCCCATCATGAAGCTATTGCGTAAGAATTGATCTCTGTATTCTTATTTGGGTAAATATGGATGATGATGATGATGATGATGATGATGATGATGATGATGATGATGGTGATGAAATATGAATGGTTCTAGGAAATCAACATATGCTTCATTCCTGGGGAAAAAATAGGATGCCAAGCTGAATATCCTAATATGTCCTTAAATAGGTCTGTATCAATTCATTCTGAATTTATTTTTTTGTATTGTGAAATGTTAAATAAAGGAGCTAAAATCCTTGTGCTGATGGAATTTCTTCTGTAATGAAATATGTGAAAGACACCTCTTTTGGGCTTGGACTCAAAAACTAATCCCACTGTTGGGGATCTTCCAGAGCAGGGAGATAAATAAATGAAGTTCCATTGTGCAGGCAGACTTTGCTTTTACATTTTATTAGAATTAGGTCACAAAATTTAATACTGGATTATTTTGCTCTTATTCAGACAGTTGGATAATGCTGGACGAGCAGTTTTTACAGAGAATGTTCGTCTTCAAGAGGCTGTTGGTTATCACATGAAAGAGACAGAAGAGTTAGAAAAAGTCAAGGAAAAATTGGAGAAAAACAATGCCTCTCTCTTGCAGGAAAAGGTTTTTATTCTTCCTCTTTTGTTCTTTGATAAATAAGATCTAAATCATATTTCAGAAAGTTTTTAGCAATACAGTTTTTCTAAACAGAGACATTGAGGAATTTATCATTTGGCATATCTTGGGAAGCTGAAACTTTTATGTAATGGTTTGGCAATTTTTGAGAGAGCCTCTCTTAGCATCTTATTGAAAACCATTTGTGTGTGTGATTCTGTTGAGATTTGGAAATGAACATGGCATTACTTACAATATTTGTTTAATCAAGAGCTTCAAAATAAGTTTAAATAGAGCTGTTGTTATAGGTAACAGATTTAAAAGAAATGGCTCTGCTAGCTCAGGCTACAGTTCAAAGCAATCTTAATTTTGCACTTTGTTTGTTACAGTAACAACTACATAACTCTGTGGTGCTCACAAATAGGAGATGGACACATAATGCTTCCTATGACTGTTCTCTGAAACTAGTATTCTGTAGGCTGTGGCTGGCACAGGGGTGACCCAGCTTCAAATCCATTTTCAGCCATGGAAGTGAATTTGAGCCAATCATTGTTTTAGCTCCACATAGGGTTCAGAAAAATAAGACAAAGTGCAGTTACACTGCCTTTGATATTTGACTTTAACATTTATTTCAGTTGAACAATCACTCTTTTAATTACCATTTGGTTAGCAGGGAAGCTACAGTAGTTTTGTTCCAAAGAATAAATATCTAATAATGTTACATCCTATCTAGAAAGATTCAGCATTGATAGAAGACACATCCTTCAAACACATGAAATAGGACTGGCAAATAGTACATTCAATAATACATTCTTGACCAATTCTTATTTACCATTTTGATCATTAAAAAAGATCTTTTAATGTTTACCATTATCTTTGTCTTCCTTGTTCCTTGTTTTTTAAGGAAACCAAAGATCTTTTAATTAAGAAGAAGATTCTCCAAATTACTCAGCAGAAAGCACTAATCCAGGAGCTTCAAAACAAGGTTAAAAAACTAGAAGAAGCAGTTAATTATATGGCTGGAGAATTTAAAATAGAAATAAAAAAAACAAAAGAGAAGGCTTTGATACGGAACCAAGCAGGTCAGACAGAAATCGAAAAGCTGGAGCAGCTGCTGGAAATGAAAGAAAAAGAAATGAGTAGAGTGAAGAAATTAGCCAGGAACATTTTGAATGAAAGGACAGAAGTGGAGAAATTCTTCTTAGATGCTCTGGAGCAAGTCAGACAAGAGATTATAAGCAGCCGGAAGTGTTACAAGCAAGTGGCTCAAGCCGCCTATCAAAGGAAAATGATGGCAGCATTTGCAGGGAAAGAGGAATACCCCAAAATCAGAACATTTAATGACAATGCACATAGCACAAATAGCGTGCAAATGGACCTTTTGGAAGCAGAGAAATGGTACATGTGGTAGAATGATTTGTAGTGATTTGTGGCCATTTAATGTAATATGAGTTTTTGATCTCTGGGAATTGAATATATTCCAATTATACTTTCAGACTTCTGGATACTCATAGGAGACAAAATGAATGCCATTTTTCTATTATGTATTTTTACTATAACTTTATCATTTTTAATATGATACAGTGGCAGTTCTGATCCAGTGAAATATCAGATTTCAAAGGCTGAAATATACTAATTTTGTTTTGACCCCAGCATCATTGTGTAAAGCACATTTTTCAATTTTCTCTTAAGAAAAATGTATTGAAAGTGTTTGAAAATCTGAGTAGGTAAAATTTAAATTTAAATATGTTTAGTCAAGTGTTTGCTTTTTGCAAATACTTATTTTTATATCCTACAAAATCGTGTACTGACAGAATGGAATACTGTGCCTTATAAATCTCTGAGTTTTCCTGGATTACCAAGGTTCATTCTAGGTAGTCTGTTTTTGGATAGTACTACTGCCCAGGACTGCATGATTATGCACTTAAATGGCTTTTTCATAAGTTTTAAGACTTTAAATATTAAGGGATAGGCATGCAAAGTTCATCACCAATTAAATTCTTATTAAAGATATGTTATCCCAAGTGGAAAATCTTTGTGATCAAATAACCACCCTAAGATCACTAACAATGTCAAAAAGAGTACTATAGTCCTCATATAGCAATTGCTTCGGACAGCAACCATTTGTAGTTACAACAGTGGAAAAAAATAACTTTGAGACCAGTTCTCACATTTATGTCCTTTGCAGGTCTGTAAAACAAAGGAAAGCTGAAGGAAGACTGTAAGCACAGTTGTAATTTTACTTAGCACCTGCTTTGCTTAATGACCAAGATGCCAGTCCCATATGTAATCACTAAATGAAGACTATTTGTATAGCTATATCTCTGTAGCAAGTACTACTTCTTTAGGTAATCTCATCGAAGTAGTAGATTCTGGGGTGATCTACCTGTTAGATCTGCCATTAATTTATCAACATCTTTAAAAACACCTCTAGAAAAGTCTCCAGAAGGTACTGCTTGAAAATGTGTCCTTTAAGACTACTTTGTCTTGACTACCCTACTGTCTTGTATTTTGAAAGACATAAGGAAGTTTAGGTAAAGAAACTGAGAAGGAAAAAATTACATGACACATTGTGGTAGTTGTTAGCTATACTTTACTAAAAAAAAATCATTGGAACTTAATCTTTCTACATATCTTCTATCTTTTAGGATATAGAGATGATGTAGGAAATTAGCAATATTAATGAAATCTCTACATAAAATGTATGCAGGTGTTGATTACCGGTTGGTAATTAAGCTTTAGTGGAGCCAGCTAGATTGATTTTATTCACTGATTTGCTCTATATAATTTGAAAGGCAGGCAGAGTACATAGAAACAGAAACTGATAGCTTTTTATCCAAATATCTTAGTTCTTCCTAACAGTCTGCCTGTATTATCACCCTCTCCAAGTTGAGTAACTTTTGAGGTGGAGGGTGATAATAAATAGATGTATTATATAGGATCATGCCATAAACATTCATAATTGCAGGTTTATACTGATGAACTTTGATTCATGATATTTGTGTGTGTGTGTCTAGGACAAATATTCAGAATGGGAAGGTGGACATTTCTGAACTGACCTGGGAGCAGAAGGAAAGAGTATTGAGGTTACTGTTTGCAAAAATGAATGGCTTAAGACACAGGTAAAATACTATTTAATAATAATAATAATAGTAGTAGTAGTAGTAGTAGTAGTAAAGTTGGAAGGGACCTTGGAAGTCATTTAGTCCAACTCCCTGCTCAGGCAGGAAAACTATACTATTTCGGACAAATGGCTGTTCAGTCTCTTCTTAAAAACTTTCAGTGTTGGAGCATTCACCGCTTCTGGAGGCAGGTTGTTCTACTGGTTAATTGTTCTAACTGTCAGGAAGTTTCTCCTTAGTTCTAGGTTGCTTCTCTCCTTGATTAGTTTCCACCCGTTGCTTCTTGTCCTGCCTTCAGGCGCTTTTGAAAATAGCTTGACTCGCTCTTCTTTGTGGCAGCCCCTGAGATATTGGAACACTGCTATCATGTCCCCCCTCGTCCTTCTCTTCATTAAACTAGACATACCCAATTCCAGCAGCCGTTCCTTATATGCTTTAGCCTCCAGTCCTCTAATCATCTTTGTTGCTCTTCTCTGTACTCTTTCTAGAGTCTCAGCATCTTTTTTACAGCGCGGTGACCAAAACTGGGTGCAGAATTCCAAGTGTGGCCTTACCAAGGCATTGTAAAGTGATATTAACACTTCACGTGATCTTGATTCTATTCCTCTGTTAATGCAGCCTAGCACTGTGTTGGCCTTTTTGGCAGCTGCAGCACACTGCTGGCTCATATTTAGGTGATTGTCCACTAGGACTCCGAGGTCCCTCTCACAGTTACTACTATTGAGCAAGGTACCCCCTATACTATACCTGTGCATTTGGTTTTTCTTGCCTAAATGTAGAACCTTACTTTTTTAATTATTTAGAATTGTAGGATCCATCCCGGTTGTAGTTCCTTATTTCCTAGCTTATTACATGTATGCTAAATTCGAAATATGGAAAATTACTACCACAAAAAGATGGCTATTTAGTTTAAAATATGACTACTGTTATAAACATTTTCATCTGTATATTTCTTATTCACTGCTATGTGAATAACTAGAAAATGAATATCAGAAAAATACATGGTTGCTTATTAATGAGATGTGCATTTATATTTAGAAATCAATGTTTCAAAGCAGAGAGAGACTAAGTGATAGAAGTAATTTTCATTCATAGCTAACTATATATAGAGTACTGAATTAGTATAGACAGTTGTAAAAGAAAATCTATTATAATTAACATTTATTACCAACAGTGAGCTGTATAGAATATCAGTGTCATTGAGTGATTGGTTCACATTTTGAATTAATTCATGGTTGGCTTAACATTATATCACAAACAATTGCTAAAAAAGAGTGCGTGGAGCTGTATAACAAGTTAATTCAGTATATGGTTTCTTTGATCTTATCTTAACCAAACTAGTAGTTACATGAACAAAAATAAAATAAGAAAATAAGAGAGAAAGGATTACTAATGAAGAGTATCAGGCTGGTCTTTATTTGCTATGTAATTAACACCAGAAATCTTGGTTATTTATGAACAATTAATGTTTAGTGATTTATTAAAATTATATCCTATACATCACATTAAGGATATGTAGATTGTTAAAAATGTCATGCATTGCCTCACCTTTGCCTGGACTGTTTTTAGATACATAAATTACATATTGATTTTAGAAAATTCAGATTATAAAAAGAAAATTAATTGGCAAAATTAAAAAATCTGAATCATAAAAGAATCCATTCAAAATATTACAATTATATTTTACATATACAATTTTTGGTATGTTATTGCTCCCCATAACATGTATGCAGGTAAAAAAGATCTGAAAAAGTGGCATCAGATTCTTGAAATAAGTAGTTTTAGGAATTTTTTAAAAATGCTTTCCTGAGATACTGTTCTTCATGGTTATTTCTAAACAGAGATGGATTCTGATTTGTGTATGACTGAAGCTATGGCCAAGCTCCTGTAAAGTCTTAGAACTGGCAGAGCCCTTTTACAGAATTATAGATTACAAACTGAAATCTTTTTTGTCTAATAACATCTAAATACTTTCAAAATGCAGTTTTGTATTTCCTGCCCGAAATTAAGTTTTATCTTTGTTTCCATGCTATGAAGCAGAGCCAATCTGGTGGGAAAATATGGCTCTAAACACAAGATTCAGATTATTTACTTATTTATTATAAGGTTTATAATTCTGGCATTTCTTCAGATACTTAAGGCAGTATAGCAAGCTCTCGTTCTCATGTTTCCCCCTATCAAGCTGGTGAGATGAATTGGACTAAGAGAAGTGACTGGCGCAAAGCCACCCACTGAACTTCCATTTGCACATGGATTTCCTAATCCATGCCTTTAACTTTTAAATGGAAGTGGCTGTTTATCACTGTTGTCTTGATGAAATTTGCATGCCATTTGCATGTCATGTTAACTGAAAGTGTACAGAGAATTATTATTATTATTATTATTAATAATAATAATAATAATAATAATAATAATAATAATAATAATAATAATTTGGAAGGGACCTTGGAGATCATCTAGTCCAATCCCCTGCTCAGGCAGGAACCCTACACCATTTCGGACAAATGGCTGTCCAATCTCTTCTTAAAAACTTCCAGTGTTGGAGCATTCACCGCTTCTGGAGGCAGGTTGTTCCATTGGTTAATTGTTCTAACTATCAGGAAGTTTCTCGTTAGTTCTAAGTTGCTTCTCTCCTTGATCAGTTTCCATCCATTGCTTCTTGTCTGCCTTCAGGCGCCTTGGAGAATAGCTTGACGCTCTCTTCTTTGTGGCAGCCCCTGAGATATTGGAACACTGCTATCGTGTCCCCCCTCATCCTTCTCTTCGTTAAACTAGACATACCCAATTCCAGCATTATATATTTTGGCCTCCAGTCCCCTAATCATCTTTGTTGCTCTTCTCTGTACTCTTTCTAGAGTCTCAGCATCTTTTTTACATCGTGTGACCAAAACTGGATGCAATATTCCAAGTGTGACCTTACCAAGACATTGTAAAGTGGTATTAATACTTCACGTGATCTTGATTCTATCCCTCTGTTAATGCAGCCCAGCACTGTGTTGGCTTTTTTGGCAGCTGCAGCACACTGCTGGCTCATATTTAAGTGATTGTCCACTAGGACTCCGAGATCCCTCTCACAGTTACTAGGACAGTTCGGAATGGGTCATTCAGAAGATCTACCTATTGAATAATTATATAACAACTTGAGATATTATTTACATTGATCATGACACATTACCATCTTGAACACAGCTCTTCTAGTAGAGATCAGAAACATTTTTGCTAGTTTGTGAGAGATGGAATGGAGGAGACATTTCTATCATATTGATTCCATTTCCTTGCAGATTAGAAAACCTTTGATTATTGTTTAGCAAATCAGTGATAAAAGTTTCAAATGAAATCGTGAAACTGAATAAATACATCATTTTTTTTACTTCATTCAACTCTTGCAACAAGGATTATAATATGCAAATAAAAAATAGTACCGGTAATTCATGCCACATTAACTTGTCACTTATTCTGTAATCTCTTTTATAGGAAATACAGTCAAGTTTTGGTTCCAGTAACACCAACCAATTTTAATTTTGCAGAAACAAAGGCATCTGAGTAAGAGAGTACATCTATTTATTAATTAGTATTAATTATTAATTTTCTAATACTTTATATACTGAATATTACTTCCAAGGGATGAGTTTTTTGTTTTTGTCTGACTCTGGTTTGATGTTTATCTGCAGAGTGCATTGTGGATGTTTTTTCTCCCAACAAAATCTTTTATCTAACTAATATAAACATTTTATTACTTCTTTAGATAACATTTGTGTCAGAATGATGTCTATGCACATCTGGCTGTTGCATGTGTGTGATTATTACTTATATTTATATTTCAATTATTTATATTTATTTATATTTATAGTACAATTTTCAAGATAACTAGACATACTTTCTACAAAACACAATAGAGACCCTAGAAATGTTGGCAGAAGTATGAAGTATTCAGTTTATTTATAGGTCTATGGGGAGAAAAGATCAGTGCAGGGCTATTCTGATGCATGTATTAAAACAACCTGCTTTTAGTTCTTCTTTGTATTGGATGCCCAAAAGTAATCTATTAAAGATAATATATATTTGTGTTGCTACAGTAATCAAAATAGAGAAAGCACCCAAAGCATAGTTATCTGCAATTCTTAACATTTCTTAATAACATTTTCACTCTGGATTACACTCGGGATGCAGGACTATGGGGAACTGACAGTGGGGGAGTTGGCAATATTTTAGCTGCTGCCCAATTGTTTTTCCTCTAGGAATAAATTGAGATAAATTATCCAAGTTTATTAAATTATATTATATTACAATTTATTAAATTGCATCAAATTATAATTTATTAAAGAGGCCCACTTTTGAATTCATCCTCTCTTTTACTTCCCCACACTAAATTTGAGTCACTTTGTTGTGGGATCTAACCTTGGATGGAGACCAAAAATCCTTTACATAATTTCTTTCCCAACACTTAGTAGGGTTGGAAATAAAAAGGAAAAATAAATAAGGTCTGGACATCTCCTTGGCCTTAAGAATGGGCACAATACTTCTAGGATCTAGTTGCATTTTTTGTTGAACAAAGGAACTATTGTGGCAAGCCCTAATGATGAGAAAGAAAATGCTAAATTTTAGTGGAGAGGGAAAATTTCTGAATAATAGCTCTATGAATTATTATTATTAAGAGAATGCATTAGCACCAAATATGTTGAATAGGTACAGTAATTGAAATGTATTTACCCATTTTTGTTTTTCATTTTCTGGTATTGTTTATACTTGCAGTAATGTCTGTGTAGCAGTAATAATTATTTTGAAGTTTAGCTATCAATTAATTATGATTCATTCTCTAAAGTCAAGTTTCCTAAAGAGCAACTCCTAAGGGGAAACTTGCATAAATGGAGTTAGAACCTGAGAATTTTTTGTTCCAAGAATAAAAATATAGCTGTATTCCTGATGACATTTGAAATCTTAGGCTAAGATACAGAGGACAACTGAATATATATCACTCCTGATTTTTTTTCCTGGTTTATCTTTTACAGAGGTGATACTGTTCCTGTTTATGCTTTCATCACTCAGCAGGCACCACTATCTGAATCATCTCATAAATCATCACCCCTCCCAGATATTCATTTTATACCACCCGAGTAGATTAGCATGGATACTGATCACAGACTGCTGAAATTATAATTCTTCTTTTCTCAACATTTACGCAGATGTGTAAGGCTAATCATGCTGCAGCAATGAAAGCACTGTTTTTGTGCATTACAATTTGCTTTACATCAGGTCAACTTGAAAGATAACAGATTGTTTCTTTAAAGAAATAATTGGTGGTTTTCTTCAAAAAGTAGATGTCTACACATTAATTCATTTGTTTAAGAAGTTATTTGAAAGGTTGTGTATTCTTGAATAAAATTGATTAAAATACGTTCGCAAGTATTTTAAAAGCATTGTTTGTGAAAGAAGTAATGATTCTGGTAAGAAAATATCTCAAAAGGATTATCCAGTGGGTCAGGGGTTATCTAGTATGACATACAGATGAACAAATATAATTTTTTTTCAGGTTTACATACTGAATCTTTCTCTCACATAGGAATATCAAGAGGTAGAATACCAGTGGCAGAGTCTGACAACTTTGATGTTTCTTAAAGGCAGTTTTTTATTTTCATCTAAGCTTTTTACTTGCTTTCTATATTTCAACCAGCGTGGCCAATGATTAATTCAAAACATTCACAAACCTGATTGTTGTCTTTGAACTAAGACATGATTTAGTATCATATTCAAATAATAATCAGTGTTTATACTTTGATTTAGTATTAGAAGTATTTCTACTATTAGATTATTAGTCTGAAGAAAACCAAAAGACTTTTGAATTTAGTGGCATTTATTCATGATTAACACCAATATGCAACTTTCAAGCATATGGATGAATAACCTGTTCAGGTAATAATGATCAGTTTTTAAGCACCTGTTAGGTACAAAAGCTAATTTGATTAGACAATAGAAAGCAATAGCGTATTTTCCAAATTTAAGGAAATATTTTGTGATTTTTTAAAAACTCTATGTGAAGATCATATGTAGTCCCAAAATAGCATCACTGTATCATCCTTTATCTCTAAATTTGACATAAGTGTATCACTCATAGCTAATCCATACATACTATATTGCTGAACAACTCAGAAATCTCAAGATCAATAATATGTATACTCAAGTATATAAAATCACAAATGTCTTTGTAACTAGTGTTAGAATCTACCCTTCTCCACATATATTTGGCTAATGAAAAATAATATCACAATCAGATTAAAGCAATATTGACAGAATATATTGCCTCTATAAAAATATGTTACTTTCTTGGGCCATTTGTTCAGCACTATTTAAAACAAAGCTCAAACACATCTAGTTCCAAATATACTCAGTGCATAAATAGTATGTAGGCACATTCATGTATAAAATTAAAATTCGTTGATTTTGTATGACTAAAGGGAACTAAATTCTAGTGATGGTAAGGCTTCACTGCTTCTCCACAAGGCCATGCTCTCAAAACAGCTCTATGAAATGCTTGCAGGATAGTTCTCCTGGATTTGCCTCTCCCAAAATTTACTTGCCCATCCTAGTATGAGACACAATCATTCCAGCATATGCAGGATTTTTTTGCAAAAAAGAAATCTTAAAAGCAATAGAATATATCACCTATAAACAGAGTGATATCAACTGTTGCAGCAACTGGTTCCCCAAAAACTAATTCTGTAGGAAGAGCTTGAATTTTCAACATTATCTCATGAATAGGACAAAAGCAAATGAAGCAGGTACTGCTTTGGCCTGATTACTCACCACAGAGTATATTTTCTTCTAAAAAAAAAAAAGAAAGATATTCCATATATGGATAGAATTTAAATCTTGTGTTAAAAGGCTCTATTCAATTCATTAGAAAGGATGATCCAGGGCAAGAATGGCAACTCAAGAATACCCCGCACCATCCCAGATGAAAAATACAACTCCAGCAAGTATATCAGTTGGCTTTAGTTCCCCATGGTTGGCATAACTACTGCAGGCTTGGTAACGGTGGCATCTTCCTCCTTCCATTGGGAAATAACTGTCTTCAGCTGTGTATAGAACTGCACCCCCTGAAAGAAACAGATACTAAGGTATAGAATTTATGCCAGCCCATGATGGAAAATTACTGCAACTTAAGAAAAAAACATGAGACAAGCCGCTGCAAGTTTGCTATGAAATACAGTATGCTACTAAGCACAGCCCTTCCACATTCCATTTCACAAACACAATAACATAAATATTTTTTTAAAAAAACAACAGTTACCTGTTTGCCATAGAAATTGGTATCTCCCCTGAAAGATCCACGGGAGCCAGTGAAAGAAAACATTGGCAAAGGCACCGGAATAGGAACATTCACACCAATCTAAATGAAAATATGTTCTTGTTTAATGTAAAAAATTATTTCACATTTCATTTAATTTGGCTCTCAGTTCGCCATCAATAAATGGCAAATAGCTACATAAGAGAGAGAAAAACAGTGGTGTAATCTGCAATGCAATATTATTGATGCAACTCATTTTTTAAGTAGTGCAGCAAGTCTAAGAAGCAAACAAATAAATGAATCTTCTCACTATAATTATATACTAATATAAAACTGAGAGGCCTATATATGTCACAACTTTTCATCTAAATTTTACAAGTTATCTGAAAAATTAGAACATTAGGAAATTGATCCATCTAGTTTTATTCAAAACTGTCAACAATTCTTCAAGTTATTGGTGTTAACAAGTTCTACATAAGAGATCCTCTTTTATTTATTTACCTGTCCAACATCCACTAAATGGGAGTATTTCCGGGCAGTGGCACCATTAGTGGTGAAGATTGCTGTTCCATTCCCATAAGGATTGTTATTCACCATTTCAATTGCATCATCCAGATTGTTTGCTTCCAAAACCACTAGAACTGGTCCAAATATTTCCTCCTTATAGCAGGTCATATTAGGCTACCAAAACAGAAAAACGTGAGATGGCATACACACTTCAGAGAGAGAACGCAGAAAATCTTTTTATTATACTATTGAAAAATTTTTTTTCATTTACAAAGCATGATTCACATGTCTTTCACATAACCGTTGAAGGAATAACTACCACTCTGGGCTCTGATTATCTAGCACTATACACAACATGGATCACCTAAGAAAGAAGAGGAAGATATTTAAAGCATTTTTAAAAAAAAATAAAAATTAAGCAGTAAATTCCTAAGTGGGGTAAATAACTCCAATTAAAAACTCAGTATGCTCAGCAATAATGGAATGTAGAATGACTGGAAAAGAAAAATGAGAATAAAATGGTGTGCTTGGGGAGGTTATTGCCTGGAAGCTCAAACAAAAATAGTCCAATTAAGAAATCAGAAGAAAGAAAAAAAGTGCAAAGGTTTTGTTACAGACCACACATAAATACTACAGCTAAAAACCTGCAAATTCTTTGACCTAGTATGGTATGCTGGCCAAGGCAACGATTTAGATGTATAAAACAGATCCCAATTCTGATATAAAATGCCCTAGCTGACCTTAATTCCCTGATTGCTACAGAAGGCCTGCAATTTAATCTTACACAACCTTACTTAGAAGCCAGACCTCTTATGCAACTCTTATAGAACCGTAGTGTTCCTTGATGTACTGGCCAGGTATAAAAGAAAGAAATCAGCTCTTTTTCCCTCTTAGCTGTTGCTCCTGCATCATTTTAACATCATCTTTAGAACTACTTTGATTAGAAATAGCTATGTAATACTCATGGCCTGCATCTTTCAATAATCCTTAACTTTCTACAAAAAAGAAGTATACTGTATCTTCGAATAAATAACTTCTATCAACTCTGTCATAGTGAATCTTGTTTGTGCAAAATGCAGCTAGGTGGGCATTTATATGTGCACCTAGAACTACACATATTACACCTCTGCTCCACAAGCTACTTTGGCTACCTATTTTATTTATTAGATTTTATCCCACCTTTATTACTTCTAAGTAACTCAACGCATTAAGTATGTAATATTCTGTAATACCCTTTCCTTCTCTGTTTCCCTCGACAACAACCTCATAAAGTGGGTTGGGCTGAGAGAGTGACTGGACCAAAGTCACCCAGCAGCTTTCATGTCTAAGGTAGGACTAGAACACAGTGTTCTGCTTTCTAAGCCAACACCTTCACTACCAAGCCCAACTTTGCTTATGGGTCCAATTCAAGGTGCCAGTAATAACTTATAAAGCTCTACATGGCACGGGGCCGGGTTATTTGAAGAACCGCCTCTTTCCAGTGACATCTACTACTCCCATCAAATCCAACAGAAGAGGCTTGTTGTGAGTTCCATCCACTAGAGAATGTCATCTGGTGGTACACAGGAGAAGGTCTGTATCAGCTGCTGCACCTGCCCAACGGAATATCATTCCCCCCTGGGGTTTGGCTGGCCTTGACTTTGCTGGTCTTCTGGAAGGACTTGAAAGACTAGCTTTGCCATCTGGCCTGATCAGAAAGTGGTGTGGAGCTCATAAAATGGATGTACTGTTCTTGAATGTCTGTGCTTTCCCCAGTGACTGTATTGTACGGCTTTTAATGATTTGTTTTTAATGACTATGTTGTTTGATTTTTTTAATTGTTTGGTATTGTTTATGTTTTGATTGTAAGGCAGAGTCACAGATTTGACATGGATAGCTGTAGTAATTGAATAAATCTATCTATCTATCTATCTATCTATCTATCTATCTATCTATCTATCTATCTATCTATCTATCTATCTATCTATCTACCTACCTACCTACCTACCTACCTACCTACCTACCTCACCATCCCTGCCAAGAGTGCAATCCTACAAGAAAACAAAGATTTGAATCCTCAGTTTTTATTGTTTTCATACAGCAGATTTCATTTTTCTTGCTTTCTTTTTGGACTGTCTCCAATTTTACAATTATTTTTACTGCAGTTGTTAACAAATTACCGATTAAGCAAATCCAGCTTCCCCAATTAACTTTGCTTGTTGAAAGCCTCCTAGGAAGGTCACAAATCACAGTCACATGATCAAAGGACACCATAAGCACTATAAACGTGAGCTGGTTGCCAAGCACCGAAATTGCTATCAAGTGACCGTGGGGATGGTGCGATGGTCTTAACGTTGAGGCTGGATCACAAGTCACTTTTTCCGAGACCCTTGTAACTTCAAGCTGTAGTTAAATGAATGGTCCTAAGTTGAGGACCATCTGTACTTTCAATTTCACAGAAAGTTAGCAGAAAGGAATGCTGTTACCTCATGTGTCACTGGCACAGCGCCACATTATTTACATCACCGACATAATCATTAATGACAACAAGATCACTGAAAATGTTTCAACACTTCTCCAAACATATTATTTGGTCGGGTCCTGATTATTTGGTCA